ACTCCAGTTCCAGGGGATCCAACACCCTCTTCTGACCTCTACAGGCATTGCATAACACAGCTGCACTTACACACATGCAGGCAATGCACTCATACATATAAAAGAAAAATAAAACAATCACATACCTCAGCCAACCAGATAAATCCGTCCAGGCATGATCTTGGGTCTCTTGTATTCTCCAGGACAGTCAGAGCTCTAAAGCTTCACAATCATGTTCCCTTAGGAGAATTCTGATGGACAGATTTGCTGCTCAGTTTAGTGATCTTTGACTAAACTTGATCCAAATACTGATCAACAGAAAATTCTTGATAGAATATGCTAAGGTGCATTGACAGTGGCACCAGGACAGTCACATGTAGCTGAACTGTTCACTGAAAAGAACACTGCTGGACACAGTCATCTGATATGTCTCCAGTTATGATGCATAACAAGCTATACAAAAAGCCGATCCAGTGGAGGCCATATCTTAAACAGAATGCACAAAATGTACTAATCTCTGAGACAAGGTCAATAGGATTCATGAGTCTGTCAAAGGAGTCTGTGTAAAGAAAATGAAGAAGTTTTGCTCTAAGTTACAGTGGCACGATGCACCCTTTTCTTTGAGGAGACAAAGGAAGAGGTGGTTAACTGGAGAAATGTCTGGAGTAACCACTGTGATTACCCAGGACCCCATGTTCAATAGTGGGGGACTCTTATGCTGGAGATGAATGTTCTCCAGGCACAACCTTAAAATTCTTCATAATTTTATCTTGGCATGTTAGTTTAAGAGGTGAAATCTATTGAGCCAAGAACAGAGAGTGTACCAGAGACCTGGTACACTGGCTCTTGTTTGGTATCTTTCTGTCACCTTATATGGCTTCCTGTCTCCCTGGGACATATCTATAGCCATCAACTCATTCAATTTTGCACAAAAACCCTTCCCTCACTTACCAAGAGTTAGAGCTTAAGTGTGGGTTCTGAGGGAGTTATGTTTGGCCCTGATGCTTCATGAAGATCCCATGTCCAAGGAAGCAGAACATTTAAATAGAGAATAAAGTGTCCACAGGACAAGATATTGTAGACTATAATGAAAGAAGCTTTTCCTGCTTGCTTCTTAAGTGAGCAAAACTGCATTTATTTATTTGTTTATTTTTACTTTATGTGTATGAGTGTACTGCCTGCATGTATGTGAGTGCACCCGTGCTGTGCAGTGCCCAAGAAGGACAGAAGAGGCTGTTGGATCCCCTGGAACTGGAGTTACAGATGGCTGTTAGCCATCATATGGGTGCTGGGATTTGAATCTGTGTCCTCTGCAAGAACAGCCAGAGCTCTTAACCATTGAGCAATCTCTCCAGCCCTGCAAAATGGCATTTCTAAAATAAACTTTAAAGTTTAATTTTATATATGCAGACAAATTATGAAGCTGATACAATGGTCTCATATGCCCAGCACCTAGATAATTAGTGGTAGAGCTGGGAGTTTATGGTTGAAACCCAAGACTCATAGTCACAGAGGTACTGATCAATCCACCGTTCCTCTCCCTGGATAGGGGTTCTAGAAGGACAAGCTACATGGCATCGCCTCGCCAGCACTGTCTTCTAATGTCGCCTAATGTCACTGCCCTTTCTTTTCCCAGCTCCTGCCTTTGGAACCGATTCCTTCTTCCCAGGTATTTTCATGACATCACAGGATGCAGTAGACAGTTCCTAAACATGAAATTAGCAGACATTGGATTTAAAGGTTGAGCTGGGAGTGTAGCTCAGTGCTACAGTGCTTATTTGGTCTTTAGTTCAGTCCCTAGCATCCTGAAAATAATATTATATTAGTAATAAAAAATAGGCAGGGGTTGAACTATTTTAAAACTCTGACTTTTAACTGGCACAATGGCACACACTTGTAAACCTAGCTACTTGCTACTCAGGAGGCTGAGGCAAAAGGACCTTAAATTCAAGGCCACCTTGGGCAAAATAGCCAGGTTTCAACTCCTAGTAATACAAAGATGTCAAAAAACAATAAAGCAACCAAGAGACCTCTGAAAGTCGCTCAGATAAGGGATGTGCAGACAATTTCTGAAGCAGGGAGAACAAAAGTCCCTCTAACTGAATCTTTACAGAGAAATAATCTAGAAGATTCCTTCCAACATCAAAACGATCTTCTCCAGCAGAAAACAATTATTTTTCATCTATCCTTACTGTTGTCACCGTTGTTCTCTGAGCATCTCCAGCAACAGAGCTGATCATCAGTCTTAAGTCTGTGCACGTTTGACAGTTGTTCAAGTTTAATAAATCAAATTCAGACTTCTCAGAGTGGACAGCTACACCTTCATTTCCACAAATTGCTAGACTGAAGAAGCCTACACAAGGCTATCCACAGACGCTCACAGTCCAGCGGCCCACGGCTCGCCCACCTACTCACATCTGAAATTTGTTATCCATGCACCAAGGCCACACAAAGGAGTTCAGTTATTACAGAACACGGATGGAATAAAGCTCGGCACCTACCATGCCTTCAGTATAGAAGAGTCAAAATTAACAGTGTTCTAGCTCTAGATTTGTTGAAAAGGGAGAAAAAAAAAAAAAAAAAAAAAAAAAAAAAAAGAACCTGAAACATTGGAAAGTGTTCTGCTCCATTGACTTCATTTTCCACCTGTTCTGTGGCTGAGAATGGCTGACCTCTTTCTTGGTTAGAAAAATAGCCAAGATGTGAAACTATTTCTTTCAGGGGGTTTGCTTTGAAGTTTTCTGCATGTTTCCTTATCCTCCAGGGCTCTGAAATATCTCATGTTTCTTGATGTTGTACAGAATCTGCAATCAATTACCTAGTTTTCTGTTCATTTTAGTTTGGTGGAAAATAGTTTTACAACAGGTAGTACTCACAATGAGGACCATGTTTCTCAGATTGAAACGCCTGCAAAGGCTGAGGTGTATAATCAGCTGAAGCTATTCTGTTTAAATAGCCTCGTAAACTCATCCAATTTTCTTTTCCCTTTTACTGTTTCCAAGACCTTTCTTTTCCTTCTCACTTACCCTGCGGTTTGAGACATGGCTGGTGCCATTTGTTTTCAGGAGAAGAAAAGGAAACATGGTGCTCACACTTGGTGACCTTGGAGTGAGCATCAGGGAAACTTCCCAAGAGCAAATTCTTGGGAGGAAAAAGTTTGGTATGCTCTTCTGTTTCCATAGAATACATGTGGCTACACCGGGCCATGGTGATGTAAACTGAAACCAGATTAGGTCATCTGTTGCCCTCAGTTCATTGAGAGCACAGGATCAAGCCACAAACATAATTTAATAAGAAAAAAAGTCTATCAATGCTCTGTTTTCTTTATGACAATTCAAAACAGACACATTCAACATGAAAATGACTTACAGGCTGTGGATAAAGCTCAGTGTTAGAGTGCTTACTTAGCAAGTATGGGGCCCTAGGTTCAGTCCTCAGTACAAATATAGAGCACACTGAGATTTAGCCAAAATTTAAATAAACGTCTCGTCTTATGTGTGGATTAAAGGTTTGTCAAAGAATCTTTTACCAGTGCATGTCTTTGTTTGTTTGTTGAGTGAGGGTCTCACTGTAGACCAGGCTAGCCTCAAACCCACAGAGATCCACCTGCCTCTGCCTCCCAAGCCAGTCTTTGGTTCAATTAGACAGCTGTTAATTACCCCCAAGATAAGAATACCACTCCTGGACCAACAGAAATAGTTTGTGGGGTCAGGCATTGTTTTATTTATTAGGCTTCTCAGATGAGTAAGACCATTGATTGGTTTTCTCCCTTGGCAGCTTGGATAGAACCCTCTGATACAGAAGCGATAGTCTTCAGGGAGGAGAGTTCCAGGTCAGTTCTAGCTCAATTGTTCCAAGTCCTGTATCTGAAGTATGTCTTCTTTAGGAATTCAGCCTTACCTTCAAGCTCTGGAAGGCAACCAAAGACTGTGGTAATAGCCTATGTTATCTGGGGAGTCTCTTGGACTACCCTGACCAAAAGCCCAAAGGGAGATATTTGTCAGAAGGCTTTTGGAACTAGTACATTCCGTTCTAGATTTTCACAACCCAAGTATTATTTATCCTCTCTCTCTCGCGTTCTCGTTCTTGTTCTCCCTCCTCCTTTCCCATTAGAATACCCCCATTTTCCTCATTTCCCTTTGATAAAATCTGTCTCCTACTATCTCCCTCTCTTGAGACCCTCCTTTACCTCCCTGGTTCCTTTCCATTTTCCTATGCTGTCTTTCCTCCGGTGTGTGTTCTTGGCACCTTTGTCAAATATCAGGTGGCTGAAATTTCATGCACTCATGTTTGGGTCCTCTATTGTGTTCCATTGATCTACGGGTCTGTTTTGTGCCAGTACCATGCTGTTTGATGAGTATAGCTGTGTAATATATTTTGTGATCTGATACGGTGATCCCCCAGCATTTTTCTTTTTGCCCAAGATTGCTTTGACTATGCAGGATCTTTTATTATTACATATGAATTTTAGGATTTTTTTTCTAGCTCTGTGAACATAATACATTCTGAGTAAAATTCCTTGTCACTTGTGACTCTGTTTTGTGAAATAAGTTCAGTTTCCATGGTATATAAATGAATGTGACAGGTACAGAACAAATACTCATTCCATACAGTCAAGGTCAAAAGGTATGAACAGATGATGTACCCCAACCACATCTAAAACTTACCAAGACAAACTCATTAGATCTTAAAGCTTGAGAATAATCCTCTATGACCTTTGGGTTCAACTAGAGTGGAAGTCCCAGGCCTGAGGTTCTGCCAAGTTTAAAGGTCATGTCTTCAAATCCCTGCTGGTCAAGGTCAATACTCTCAATACTGATTTTCCAATACCAGACAAGGCTTCCTGTTCTCTAGCTCTGAGCAGAGTCTGTCACTGTTGTTGAACCCAAAGTGGTGCCTTCTTGATCTATGAATCACCCTTGGGATCCCTTTCTTCCTTTTTTCTTAAAGAATAGCACACATTAACACACAAATAGTTCTAGCATCCTGTATTAATCAGGGTTCTCCAGAGGAGCAGAACCTATAGAATAAATATGTATCACAAAGGGAATTTCCTGGGCAGGCTTACATGATATGTACTAGGCAGTTCAACAGTAAATGGCTGTCTTCACAATAGAGAAGCTGAGAACATGGTAACTTTTCAGTCACCAAGACTGGAGGACTCCTGGGGAGCCTCTGATCTCCAGTTCAGGTTGGAAGCTTGAGGAAGCTGCATTATAATGTCAGTAGAGGACTGCAGCAGCAGAGACAG